ACGCGGCGTGCACTGCTGTCCAGGCCGAGCGCTCAGGCCGCCCCTCTCCGTGCTCCCTGCAGTGGGGGGCATCTCTGGCTGGGGGCTCACGCCTCCCCCTCCCCGAGCCTTAGGCTCTTCACCTGTGAACACTCATTAAACCAGCCAGTGTGCACAGGCAGCACTCTGGAGGGGCAAAGCAATGAGTGGTTTCTCGCTCGCGCCCCATGAGAGGGGGTGAGTCCGAAGGCAGAGCTGGCCTGCAGTTACTGGGGGAGAGCCCTGGGACTGGCCTGGCCCTGCAACACCCTCTCTCCTCTCAGCAGGCAGGCCACTTGAGGTCAGGGAGGGGCTGGGCCAGTGCCTATTCCTGGTCTGGAATGGTGTGACCCGGGGGGGCTTCCCCACCCTTTCCACAGCTGGCACCCTGCCCACCAGAAGAGCGGGGCGGGCATGGGGAGGAGCCGCCAGCAAACCCCGGGGCCTCCCAGCATGGCTGGGTCAAGACTCTGAGCCGAGCCAGGCTGACCTTTCCCAGGGGAACCAGAGCCTCACATCCAGGCCCAGCATGGCGCTGGGCCCGAGGGCGGTCAGCCAGCTCCCTGGGGCTGCCCGATTCCTGGGGAGGCAGCTTGCTGCACATGCTCAGTCCCCACTTGGAGTGAGCCCCAGGGCAGGCCGCGCTGACCTGATCCACGCAGGAAGGAAACGAAAGGTGCTCACCTGCCCACCTGGACAACCCTACAGCTCTCATGTCGTCTATCTCACCACTTCCTCATGCTCTCAGAACAACAGCCCGACGCCATGCTCCAGCTGGGAAGGCCAGGGTCCCAATGGCCTCCCTGTCCCTTGCCTCTGTCCCTCCCACTCTCTGGGTTCCGATCGCTTCTTAGTCGATCACACTGCCCTGCCACAGGGACTTTGCATGTGCTGTTACTCTGCAGGGGTGTCCTTCCCACCTTGCTATCTGACTCATGATAGCCTGGCCCATTCATTCAGCCCTCACACCAGCCCATTCGTACCTATGTAACCAGAGCGCCTGGGTTCAAATCCCACCTCCACTGCTTAACAGCTGTATGACCTCTGGGGCTCCGCGTCCTCATCGGGAGAAAGGAGCTGGCATGAGCATCTGCCTCACAAGGTTGGTGGGGACGAAGCACCTTCACAGGTAAAGCCTTTAGCAGCTCCCAAGCACCCCAAAGTATTGAGAACTACTCAAGAGTGTCGCTGTTACTTATTACTTCATGCTTTGAATGTCAGCCCAAGAGTCACCCCCACCCCCCACCCCGCCGCCCCTCCTCGGGAGAGCCTCCAGGGCCAGGTGGAAGCCCTGTACTGTAGAACTTTTCGAGGGTCATTTTGCACCTGCTCAGCAGGTCACTCACCTCCTCCCTACTTCCCTGAGGTGCAGAGGCCCCACGGGGTGCAGCCGCCTACTCGGGGTCACACGCCGTCAGGGGCCGAGCTGGGGCTCAAACCCAGGAAGAACGGCGCAGACTCTGCATACCAAGAACTCTACAGATACAGCTCCTGCACCCTTATGACACCCCAGGAGGCGGCATCGCAGCCACATTTTAGAGAACCAGGGAAAACGAGGCCGGGACGGGGATGGGCAGGGCCAGGGGCACGCAGTAAGGAGCTGGCGTTAGTTACGAACAGTGATGGGGAGCTCCGCACATTAAAGGCATCACTGCCTGAAACTGCAGAAAGGTGGCTGTGCTGGGTAGAAGACTATCCCCTTAAAACCTGTGAATGTCACATTATTTGGAAAGAGTCTTAGATATATGATCCAGTTAGATGGATTGGGGCGGGACCCTCTAAGAAAAGGGAAGTTGGGGCAGAGACACAGAGTGACGAAAGCCATGTGAACACAGAGGCTAGAGATGAGCCTACAAACCAAAGAGCACCAAGGGTTGCTGGCCACACGAGGCTGGGGGAGGAAAGGCAGAGAGGGCCCGGCCCTGCTGACACCCTGATTTTGGACTTCCAGCCTCCAGAGCTGTGAGAGCATCCATTTCTGTTGTTTTAAGTCACCCACTTTGTACTCTGTTACGGCAGCCCCAAGGAGCGAATGCAGTGGATGATAGTCTCACTCCCACTGCACAGATGAGGAAAATCAGGCACAGAGAGGTTGATGGATTTGCCTGAAGTCACAGACCTCAAAGGTGCAGAGGCTGAGGTCTCGTTTCTCTCCGGAGGAGGGGGACCTCTGCAGCTCACCCTTCCAGACCCGGCTGGCAGAAGTCTCCAAAATGCCCTGGGCAGGCTTACGCCTCCAGGCTCCCCAAGAGAGGGACCAGGGCAGGCTCACTGTGGACGGCCCTGCCCTACAGAGGGTGAGGCACTGGGTCGATTTAAACGACGGGTAGAAGCAGGCTGGATACCATCTGCGTGAGCACAGCTGGCTTGGGTCCTTTCCTGGGTTTCTGACGGCGAGGCAGGAGGCACCGGAACATTCTTAGCCTCCCTCCCGCTCCGCCGTGGAGAAGGAGTGGTTGGGGCTGCCAGCACCTGCCTCCCCACGCCCCCCGCCACAGCCTGAAACACACAGGCATCAGCAGCCACCCTGAGCAGTAATTGTCCAGATTGCTGTAATTCACAGCGGACGAGCTCGCTGGCGCTCATCGCATTATTACAAATGTCACTGAGCAGGGCCTCAGCGTGCACGGCCCCCGGGGGAACTCATGCTGCCGGCTCTGTGGGCAGCACCCAGGATGAGCTCACTGCTGCCACTGAGGACCCAACCTTGACACGGTGGGGGCACACTCGTGTCTCAGCGGTGAGTCATCCCCGCTGTCCTCCCAGTCCCCGATCTGCCCTTCCCAAAGGGGAGAGAGGCAGCCGTCAACTTGGCCAATCCCCGTCCCCGGGCGAGAGGGAGGGAGGCAGGGCCAGGGCTGGTGTGATGACAGAAGACCCCCACAGGGAGTGAGGGGACACGGCGGGCCTGGGACGTGCTCGTGGATCCCGGGACAATGTCACTGCCGACAGCGAGACCCCGGGGCCTCACGTGTGGTTAAGAAGCCCAGGCATCCCACATAAATGCTCACAGCAGTACTATTCACAATCGCCAAAAGGTGGAAACCACCCACATGTCCATCAACCAAGAGATGAACGGATGATAGGACGTGGTACGTCCGTCTGCACCGTGGAATATGGCACAGCCAGGAAAAGGGAGGAAGCAGTGACATGTGCTGCATCATGGATGGGCCTCGAGGACAGGACGTTGGTGAGAGGAGCCCGTCACCGGAGGGCACGCTCTGTACGACTCCACTCAGCGAAGGCGCAAGATGGCAAACACAGAGGCAGAGAGTGGGGCAGGGCTGGGCTTGGGTGGGAGGGACGAATGGGGAGGGGGCTTCCGTCTGGGGTGACAAAAAGCGCTGGAGCCACACAGTGGGCATGGCTGCACAACACTGGGGGTGGACGTAATGCCACTGAATTGTACACTTTTAAATGGCTACAATGGTAAATTTTATGAGTATTTCACCAAAATTAAATTAAAATGGGGGGGTGGGTGGAGAAAAATCACACAATTTTAATAAAGCCTCTTGTGCACCTGATGGTGAAATCCATATTAAAGCCACACAGTAGACACAGAAGACAGAGGGAAAAAACGACAATATGGCCACTTAGGGGGCTGATAGCACCCCTGTGCCCTGCCAGTTAGAGAAAATACCCACGGGTCTCCCCATTAGCGATCCTTAGAGCTGCTAAAAATAGGGCCTCAACCTGCAACAGGAAGCAGATGGCCCCCCTCCTGAGTGGTGCCAGGGTCCACAGGGCCCCTCCTCCAGGCCTGCTTCACCCGAGGGGAGGCGCCCGCTCGGGTCTGGGGCTGCCCCTGGTCAGTTTCTGAACCCCCAGGCCAACACGTGGGCCCCTCAGCACCCTGCCCCGGGGTGGGGGATGGGCACAGGGCAGGTGCCTGCAGTCCAGGGTCTCGGCCTCCAGGCCCGGCTGTCCCCACACACGCCTGCCTCTATGGGCCCACATCTTTCACTGGCAAGACCGTTTATTTGTTCCCTCATCTGTTTGTTCCCTCCTGCGTCATGACCTGGATGGAGCTCTGGGCACCAAGAGGCCGGACGTCAGTGACGGGGCCTCAGGGGGGCCTCGGGGACAAGTACCGGGAGGACTCGCTCCTGGCCCCTCCATGCATGGGCTCCAGGACCTGACCAGTCCGTGGCCTCTGCTGCTCGAGTCCTTCTCAGGAAAATGGGGACGGAAACAAGACCCACGTCTCAGGGCTGGGGTCAAGGTGAACGAGACCAAGCAGGCAAAACGGGGCTCAGACGCCACCCCCAGCCTCCGCCTTCCTGTCAGCGCTGTGCCGCTGACACCTCCATCCCCCCCACACTGGGCACAGGAGATGAAGGGGCAGACTGAAGGGTCTCCAGAGATGGGGGAGCCCACACTGACACATCCCGACACTGCAGGGCCCATCCTCGGGGTCCTCGCGGCCAACCCAGACACCCCTCCCGTTTCACAGACAGAGTCACGGAGGCCCAGAAACAGATCATCCAGCCGGGAAGTAAGGACCCAGCTACTGTGGCTCGAATGACATCACAGGTGGCTCCCGTGTGAGGATGTGGGGTTGGTCCTCAGCTGCCAGCCTCCCCCGAGATGGAGCAGCTGAGGGGAGGATAGCTGGACCCTATGACCCCACCAAGGTGGCTGCCAGCAGGCTCTGCACCTTCCCTGAGGTGCCCAGGTGCACTGACCCCGCAGGGAGCCGTCCACAAACCGCGTGCACAGAATGATCTGTGACCCAACAGCACCCTGGGGACACACCGTGTGTGGAGCCGGACAACATGGCCACACAGACCCATCTTCTGGAGGACAAAACTGAGGCTCCACAGAGAAGTGATCGATCTGAGAAGAGCCCAGAAGCAGAGCCTGCCCCCTCAGACCACAGCACCGCCCCGGGTCACAGCCCAATGAGTCAACGTCCTCCCCACCACGGGACCTGCAGGACCGGGTGCAAATCGAGGGCCATCGGGCCGCCAGGCACTTCTCACCTTTCTTGGCTGTCTCCATCTCCTCTTCGGTCCAGCGGGAGCTCTCGTTCATCTCCATCGAAGCTGGAAAGAAAGACACGGCGCGTTGGCAGCCGCTGGAGAGGCCCGTCTTCTCCAGCTCCGGTCACACAGGCCCCGGGCTGGGCTGCTCTCGCACCCGGGTCCAGCCTCACACGACCCGCTGGGGTGTGCAATCACCCCATTTTACAGATGGGGAAACTGAGGTGGACCAAGACCTAGTCTGGGAGAACCACCTCTTTGCGTACTTGGTCGGCATGGGGGTGGCCCGCCTGGGAAATGCTGACTGTGTGACAATGAGGGGACGAGGGACATGGGCTCCAGGTAGGCAAGGACCTCATCTGAGTGTGGTGTCTTTACTGGGGGGCCGTCCTGAGCTTTGTGGGGTGTTTTGCAGCATCCCTGGCCTCTACCCACTAGATGTCAGTAGCCCCTCACTCCAATGGCTGGGTCAAAAATGTTTCCAGACACAGCAATCGTCCCCCGGGGGGTAAAACACCCTAAGAACCCCACTCTACAGGACTATGTTCTTCTCAACTCGGCCAGTATGAGGTGAGACTTCTCGTGTGACCAGAAGGGACACGGCTGGCCCTGGAGTCGGGCAGGCGGCCAAGTCCCCGCTGGGGCACTCTGAACGCCCCCATGTGAGCCGGCTTCTCCCCTGCAAGTGGCTGAAAACCCCATGGGGGGGGTGGGGGGCTCCGAGGGATGGCAGCTTCACTGGGGGGGAAGGGTGGGGAGAGATGGCAGCTCCGCGGACTCGACACCGGGAACAGCACCAGGCACAGGACATGTACTTGACAGGCTGGCAGAGCAGTGGAGGGAAGTTCTGGCAGGACGGGCATATGAAGCCACAGCTCAGGAAGGAGAAGGCCCCACCCCCACAGGCAGCCACCCCACTCTTATGGCCACGGCCAACTTCCCCCTTCCTTCCCATGGGAGCCCCGCAGCGAGGCTGTGAAGTCTGAGACTGGGGCGGGGGCGCTACAACAGCCCATTTTATTTTCACCCCCCACTTCAGCCCCAACATGGGCCTGGGGTCCCGAGGGACTCCTCCTAGAAGTCGGGCACACAGGGCACTTCCAAAGGGAGCCCTGGCACCAACAGGCAGCTGGCCGAAGGCTAAAGGAACTGCTTGGGATCTGTGGCCAGCGGGGCTGGGTTTGATCTCGACAAACTCCATGACTACAGAAGAAACGTCCCTTCTCTAAGCCTCCAACAGCCCATCTGTGAAATGGGTACCAATCACCTCCCCTCGGAACAAGGGACAGGCACCTGGCACATACCCTGGGTGTTGGGGAGGGGGCGTCTGTGAGAAATGAAACATCGCCTCTATCAACTCCCACCCTGGGAAGGCCACCCTGGTGGCTGGAACACTCAGGAGCAGGGGTGGGGGTTCCCACAGAAGCGGGAGAGTGGGGCCCCAAAGAGCCAAAATGGAAGTGATGGCAGACACACATCGGCTGCCCCCATGTGGCTGAACTTGGGAATTGCTACTCAGTTCTTCTCTTGTCTTCCCCCTTGGTCCATAGACGTGAAGCTAAGAACCCAGGCGCCTGCCAGGGTTGGGACAGGGCGGGACAGTGGCTACACAGCTCCAGCAGCTGCTGCCTGGTGGGAATGCAGGCCGAGGGCAGCTAGATATTCTGATTTAACCACAACACCAAATGGCCCACCTGGATTTTTAGGAGAATTGTCCCAGCTCTGGAACAACCATGGCTGCCGGCCACTGAGTACCTTCCACGCCCCAGAACTGCTGCAGGCTCTTCCCACACACACAGTCACTGCAACGCTCACCCCATGGCTGCAGGCAACTGCTGTGCAGGTGAGGACACCGAGGCACAGAGAGGTTAAGGCACTCTGCCCAGGCCACACAGCGAGTTCGCAGCTAACGCTCGGGTGCTGAACCCGCCGGGCTCTGGCGCCCTTCCCTGGCGTGCGACTCACCCAGCTCGGCGCTCTGCTGCGGGGTGACGGCTTCCTCGCTGTTGGCCTCGTTGGCCATGGAGCGAGTGATACGGCCTTTGCGCCTCCCCTGGCTGTTGGCGGTCTTGCGGCCCTTGGAGGCCACGGCCTCCTTTTCATCGTTGTCTTCCCCAGACGTGTCGTCCGTCTTCTCCCTAAAGGCCAGAGAAGGAGACGGTGATGGCTTCACCTGAGCCAGGAAACTGGGTGGCAGGCTGCAAGAGACATGCGTTTCTTTAGCTGGATGAGCGGCTGGCTGGCTGGTAACAGTCTGCCGGGCTCCCTGATCACCAGACAAGAGAGTCAGGCTGGTCGCTGCGTGCAACACCACCTTATTTATCAGAAAGGAGGTGCGAGCTGGCAGCTATCGATTACCGCATTCTCCAGACGAGGAGACATGGGCTGGCAGTTCACTGGATGGTCATTTTATTTGCCCAGTGGGGATAGTGGCTGGTGGCTCCCGGTAAGAGCACTTTATACACCAAACAGAGAGCTCTCTGCCACTGTCTGCCTCCCAGACTCTTGGGTTAACAGCACGGGGGAGGAGGGGGTGCAGGCTGGCAGCAATCAAAGCCACTTTACTCCCCAAAGAGATGTTCCCATCTCTGTGAAGAGCACTGCCGTTGCTGTCGGGAGTATTAGGGGCCGGGGTGCCTCGTGGAATACTGGAATACGCAGGAGGAAAGTCTCCTATGGGCCTCCGCAGAGCCAGGTATGTGGGGGCGAGGCCTTTCTCAGAAGCTGACTCAGGAGGGTTTACTGTGGGGCCGCTGGGATTTATCACCTCCGCCTCCCCATTCATCTTCCTGAAGGCCCTCGCTGGAAGCCTGGGAGACAGGGGGTAACGAAGCCAGATGTTCTCTGAAACCACATTCCTGAGCCGGTTCCCGGTACCTGGCTCTAAGCTAAACTAAGCTAAGCTAAGCTGTGCCCGCCCCCCACTCTCAGTGTGACACTCCAGCTGGCTGGGCTCCCGCCTGGGGCAGCACGGGAGGCTGTCAGGCCCTGAGGCGAGCCTGTGCCTTGATCTGCAAGAACTCACACTGACAGCGGTAATTCTAAAGGTGAGGGCAGCCGCCCGCCTGCGTGCCTGGTCCTTCCCAAGCTCCTCTGATCCCTGTTCCCCCCTCCCGGCACCTCAGGAAACTTGCCTGAGGAGGCAGAGTTCCAAAGTCATTGCCTGGATTTATTAGCTCAGGAGTGGAGCTCAAATGAGCTATCAGTCTGCAAAGTCTCCGGAGGGTTTGAGAAAGCCAGGGTGGGGGAGGGGCGGAGGGAGGCAGCGCAGGCTCCGGAATGGGGGCTGTCGGGGACAGAGCAGGC